GGGGTCCAGGACCCCCCCGGCCCCCCCCCCCCCCCCCCCCCCCCCCGCCCCCGGCCCTTCCCTCCTTTCCTTGACTAACAGACTGTTCATTTCTGATAGTTGTTCTGAATGGACAGCCATATATATATAGTTAGACTCTGAATAAGATGTAATTATATTATGAGTAATGCTATAGGTACAAAATGGGGATGATCCGCAATAAAGTGTCACATATTCTCACATTTAATTGGCTTTCTCATTTTACCCCATGGGGGTCATCCCCACTTTGTAAATATAGCATTATTCTTATATAATTATGGCTATTGAATCCAGAGGATAGAAATGGAAATAAGTTGCAGCTCAACCTTGAAAATTTTGCTTCCATTTTAACAAAGACAAACTTGTTAACTATGACAATTGGTACTGTGATTGGACAGAAAATACACACAGAGCATTCTTGAAATGCTTTCGAGAATTTGCTTAGGAATTTGGCAAAGAGACTTAGGAAGTGATGATGTCACCTTTGAATTGAGAGTTCAGCTATGGTTATGTCAATGAGTTGAGACTTTAAATAATCGTCATAACACAATGAGGAAGTTTTAATCTGGGACTCTTCAACTTGATTGAGATGCTCATACTGCATAAACTAAATAAATGCAAAGCATACATCTTTCAGTGCAGTATTAAGGCATTCTCTTGGAATCAGAATGTTTTGAAAGTATGCAGAATAAACGATTATGTTCTCATCAATAAGTTTGTTGCAGGGGTTCTCTGGGACTCAGAATGTTTCAAGTCAACAAAAGGACGAAGCGTGGAGAGTAAATGTGCAAATCCAAGGCATTGATCATTATCATGGTTATTTATGTGGCACAATGGAAGCTCTAAATGTTCCTATGGCAGACACCCCAGTAAGAATCTTTTGCTGTGAGATAGTTATAAAGATTCCATTATGGTCACATATCTTTTTTCGTGCTTTTGTATGGGTAAGCATTGTTACTTCGAGAACATTCCTGGAAATATGCTAACTTGTGTGTCTAGAACGAGTCAGAGAAAGTTTAACAATGGTCTATGAAATTTCCTTCTTTTTCTTAGGACCAGGATTTGTGTTTGCAGTATTAAGGTTTCACTGTTTTGGGTGAAAAAAATGTAACTTTTAGTATCATTTTGACATGATTTAGGTGTTCTGTCTGTGGTACTTGCAGTTCAAGCAAACACGGAGCTAGATTTTTATCGTCCTAGTATCACTGTTTTACCATTTTATCTAGAAATTAAGATATACTTTGTCTCTTTACCTCATATGCTTGTTTTAAAAATAGACATTTAATGATCTACTCAAGTCCTATGGCCTATAGTAACATAGTGTCACCATTCGCATCTTCACCGTCTCCAGTAAACCTTTACTCAGAAGCACTTTTTTCATTTTTTCCTTGTCACTACACACATGATCACGAAGAAGTCTATATCACTTTTGTTGACTTCTGTCTCATAAGATGGTATGTTGAATTTACTTTAAAATACAAGGATCTATTTTAGGACACTTGTATTCCCAAATAAAAAAGTTATCCACAAATCGAGCAAGACGGAGCACATATATAATTGAGCATATTCTATTTATTTAACCAGAAGTTGTATTTCTTTTCACCGTATATGTTATCACCCTATAAATTTAGCTGATAATGAATTTGCTACGTCATTGTTGATCATTTTTCCTGACTTCCTCTATAAATTGTGATTACTGAAAAAGGGAGTGGCTTTTAAGATTGCCTTCGCCACTGTGCTCCCTTTTGTTCAAAATTGCACTTCCTCTTATAAATTGTAACAATAGTGTGCTTGGATTAATAATGCAAAAAGAGGCTGTTTTTTGCTGTAAATTATGGCCATCTGCTGTAACTGGACGCCCTTTATTCTCTCTATTCTTATTCAAAACTTGCATCTCAGGTAGTTACCTTTTGGGAAGGGGAAATTGTTGACACCAAGAATTATACTTTCTTCACTGGAAAGTGGGGAGCAACGTATGTTCTTTTCCTTATCTTATCTTGTATACTGGGAACAATTTTTTTCTTCAGCCACAGTAGTGAAAATTGATATAAATAACACCTAAATATACGAGTTCTTTCTTGCATAACTGGCTTACAATTATGAGCAGCACAGAAGATGACATAAAGCACTGGACAAAATTTCCATCCTTTTCACCCCTACTGGTGAGTAGATAATGGTGTCTCTTTTTGGATGCAAAAATTATATTTTCTTAATTTTTCAAGTCCTCTCCAGAGCCAAGTGAAAGTTGATGGAGGAAAAACTTTGGACTTGAGTAATTATCCTCACATATTCATGGTAATGACCTGGTTTCTATGGTTCGTTTTTCTCATTATCTTTTAAATGAGTTTCATACTATCTCTGTTATAATTATTGTCTTCTAATTTGGCTTCACAGAGATGGAAAGAACAATACTTTGTGAATGTTGGGACAGACTGCGGATTGACCATAGCCGGATTTTACTATGTTTGCTTCTCCTGTAGTGATGGCTCCATTAATGGCTTCTATTATGATCCTAATAGCAGGTATGCTTCTTATTTCTTTCTGTTTCTGCTATTGTTAGGATCCTCGACGATATATATTTTCCTATTGTTATCATCTTAGGAAAAATCGCACTGTTGGTCCCCAGGCTACTGTTTGAGTGGCAATTTGATCACCAAACCTTTAAAATGCAGCAAGTTGTTCTTCTACCAAGTTGCATAACTAATCCTCAGTGATGGAAACTGTCCAATTCTCCTTTCAATTGTAATGACTCTAGTATGTTTTCACCGAGTCCACAAGATGATTTAGCACAGATTTGTATGCTTTCTTCCACTGGGATTGATTGTACAACTAAAATTAAATGTTGGGAGAGCAAATGGTGCCCCTTTTAAAGGTTTTTACAATTCAATACTCAGGCAATAGATTGAGGACAATAAGGCAATTTTCCCATCATCTTATGCCCATTCCTGATTCTTTACGCGTTGTATATCTTTATAACCTAAAAACAACAAAAGTGATAGATATTCTGGAATAATCTTGCAGCCCTTTCCAGAAGTTGAAATTGAAGTCGACTAACGATGGAAGATCAGGGTTCAGTTTCTCCTCTTATGAGTTGCAGTAAATTTGATGCCGACAGTTGTAGAAGATGAAATATCCTATTTTTATCGTGCATTGCCCTCAAGATTTTGCTTCCGATCTTCAGTTGAGTTCATGTTCATAAAATTGGGTTCTGAAATCACTGAATAGAATTCGAGAACAGACAGGAGAGCATAGGGCGGTTGATGAGTTTGTTTGTTTGCTTGCTTTGTCTCTTAAGAAATCTTTAATGTCCAATATAAACCTTTATCAACTGGGCAGGTGTGGAATGATCAATACCAATGTAACATGTACATGCAATTTGGATTGAATTGTTCTCGTTTCTTTAGATAATTTCTTTGTGCAGTTTGTGTGATCGCACATTTTAACCCTTCGTGCATAAAAGCCTAGCCATCTCGGAACTTGATTATCGATATTTGACAAGCAAACTTTAATTAACTAATCAAGTATTTAGACTGAATTTCAGCAAAAAAAAGAGTTGCTTGCAAGTTCATAAATTATTTGCAATAAATATGTACAGAAAAAAAAAAAATCCACAGAAAACACACAAATAGGTGGGGCTCATTTTTTTTTGCAATGTTTAATGAACCCTGCAATGAGTACAAGAAAATTTAACAGGAAATTCTTGGCAGCTGCCAATCACAGGAAGACAGCTGTTGAATTTTCCGTACTCACGGACTTTTTCATATTTAATTCATATGGAGCCCACTCCACGTGAGTATTTGTTCATTTTCCGTCTGAACGGAAAAAAATCTAAGCATAAACAATTAATTTCCAGCAAGTGGGACCCAAACAAATAGGATGCACACAATTTCGAATGGTCATGAAACGAAGCAGATAAGGTGGGAGAACACTGAACTGAGCGTTGGCAAGATCACAATACCAAAAAACCATGGCAAATTCGCAAATACTTTATTTTTCTCCCATTGCAACTCCACCTTCACCAGTTGATTATAAAAATAAAAACTGTTTTTTCCTGCATAATTACAAAAAAATTTGCAGAAAAACCCAGAAAAGGGCCTCTTTCAAGATTCAAGCGGCAAAGCTTCCTGCTGGAGTATGTTTTCCTTTATTTCTCGTTTCCTTCTTCATTTTATATTTTAATGCTTCAGCCGACTGTCTTTGAGAGCGAACAAATGTGAATCTTAGGGTTCTTAAGATTGAATTTTCATTTTATTTATTTATTTCTGTTAGTAATTAAAACTGAAGACTTAATTTTCAACGTTTATATGAATTAATTTTTGTTTTCAGATGGAATTGCCAAAGCAGCAACCAAAATTCAATGCCCCGTTTCTTGGATTCACTAAAACTGCTGAAATTTGGAACTCTAGAGCTTGTATGATTGGTCTCATTGGGACTTTTATTGTTGAACTGGTCAGTCTGTTGCCTATTCTTGTCAATTACCTTTAATTTCAATATTATCATATTAAGGAAATATTCTTCTATTTTTCTACTGATTTATTCTAATTTTTTGCTGTATAATTCTCAGATTCTGAACAAGGGAATACTTCAGATAATTGGCGTGGATGTTGGCAAAGGTCTTGATATTCCTCTATGAAAATTCAGGCTATGAGAAATTGTATCAAATGACAATCTCGTTTAACCGTTCAAGATACTCATGAGTAATCGAAAAATTTATTTTGTATGAATATATTATTGGCTTGTGCATTTGTAAGTTAAATTTAGGTTTTTTCTTCTCCGACACATTAAAATTACTTTTAGGGTCCGTTTGATAGATAAATGTGGAAATGAATTGCAATTTCATATTAGTTGGAAAATAAAAACTCATCAAACCTGTAGGAATTCGTTTTCCACGAAAACAAAAAAAATGCAGCTTAAAGTTTGCACCTGGAATTCGATTTTCATTTCCACGTTGCAATCAAACGGTTAAAGTGAAATTCATTTTCCTCGAATGTGATATTTTTCATGAAATTCGTTGCAATCAAACAGAGCATTAGTATTCAAGTAAATTAGTCAATGAATCAAATATTTTAAGAAAATAAACATGTCCAAATTCAAATTTTACAGAATTTTTCAAATTTTAAATTGTGAGGCATATAGCATACAAAATGAGGCCATCCAAAAGGTGACAAATTTCTCCTAAATATAAAATATAATTATATATGGAGATATTATATCAAGAAAAAGTTGGTATAACTACAATGATGGTATTTTATACCATACTATGAACTTGTAGTCATACCCGAATTTCGATATTCAAACCAAAGCATATTAAATAATCTAATTTCTTGCATAATTATAACATTTTCAACACTAATATAAAGATTAATGATCGTTATTTATTATCATTTGCCGTTTTAACTATAATACGAGACTACGTAGGATAGTCATTTGGCTATGTACACAAAGAATCTATTTAAAACTTTATCACCCACTTTGTGAAACAAACCCTAAATAAACGTATTCACTTTCTCATCGTTAAATTTTTCATCTAAATGTGATTTAACGTGATATTAAAGCATTAGCATCTTGAATTCAAATCTCATTACTAACCGTTTATAAAAATTGTGAAGATATTAAAAACTTTAACGTAATTAGTTAGAACTGCACACGAGGAAACTATGCCCTTGTTTGGTTTTACTAAAAATAATATTTTTAGTATATTTTAATAAAAGTTGATGAAATATGTGATTAAAAACTTATGAGTCGCATACAATATGCGATGAAGCTCCTGTTTGTCTATAATTATTCTAAAAAATTGTTTGCTATAGAGATTTTTCACCACATTCGCCCAATAAAATATTCTACACACAAACCAATAAAATTACTTTACTTTTCAACTACACATTCTTCAAAAAATACTATTCATTACTCTATTTTTCCTCCAATAATGGGAGACAAACACACCCTAAGATTACTCATTAATTTTAACTTAAATTTTTAACTTCTTAAACTATAAATACAGCCCAACTTAACATGACATGCACATTCTAAATGATTTGACGTGCCCCTTTTAGCTGCCATATTATGTTCAATATCATAAATCAGCTTCTTGTGAACAAAAGTAGAAAACATCACGAGTAAGGAAAGATTTGACAGAGTACAATTGGACAAACAGAACTACATTGTCTTTGACACCACTCTAATGTTGTTTTCCAACTACATTTTCTCCAAGAATTTTTTTTTTTAATGCTGTCCTTAATTTGTTCCATACTCGTCACCTAATCAACCAAACACCCAATCTATACCTCTATAAAACCTCAATGCCTGAAAGTTGAATTTTCAGTCATCAATCCCAGCCATTCTTTCTGAGAAGAGATAAGAGAAGAGATAGAATTATGGGTGTCTGTACAATTCAATTACTGCTGGCTTTATTGGGATTCTTCATCACATCATGTCTTCTTCCTCAGCATGCACAAGGCATAACCAGGCATTACGAGTTTAATGTATGTCTTTATAATATGATTTTGGCCATGTATCACTCTATTTGTCCGTGCTTAAAAGTCAGCTTTTTAGTTACTTTTTTCAGTAGTAGGTCTAAAAAGCTTGCTTTTGATCGTTATAGCATCTCCTATCTTGAACTATAGTAATTTTGTGGTTATAATTAATAGACGTGCACTCGTTGATTTCACATTTACATTTCTTGTTGAATTCTCTTGAAGATCACAATGCAAAGCGTGACACGACTGTGCCACACAAAAAGCATGGTCACTGTGAACGGGCAATTTCCTGGACCTCGCATTGTAGCTAGGGAGGGCGACCGTCTACTTATCAAAGTCACAAATCATGTTCCCAACAATATCTCCATCCATTGGTAATACTCTTAGCTCATTTTCTTCCTTTTACTATGTATTCTCGATTTATGCGTGCAATTGCACAGATGACATCGGGGCAATGTGATCTTCCCTGAATCGTCCAAATTTTATCAAATGTTCTCGAAGGGACTTTCCTTTTACTTTAATTTCAGTCAAAGAATAGGAAATTTATTTATATAGTTACTAGTTTATATTTCACTGTGTTATTACAGGCATGGAATTCGACAGCTGCGTAGTGGATGGGCCGATGGACCTGCGTATATAACACAGTGTCCCATTCAAACTGGGCAGAGTTATGTGTACAATTTCACTATAACTGGCCAAAGGGGAACCCTTTGGTGGCATGCACATATTTCATGGCTAAGATCAACTGTTCATGGTCCTCTAATCATTCTACCCGAGCATAATGTGCCTTATCCATTTCAAAAACCTTACAAGGAAGTCCCCATCATATTTGGTAATCACCAATTTTATTGAACACCCTTAATACTTGCTCGTGTTGCAAGTTTGAATGCTCGACTCAACAGTAGCCTAACAAACTTGTCGCATGCATTTGTCTTTGAATTTTAAACATGTCTGTGATTATGTAATGTACAGGAGAATGGTTCAATACAGATCCTGAGGCCGTAATTAGCCAAGCTTTAAAAACAGGTGGTGGTCCAAATGTTTCTGATGCCTATACTATCAACGGATTGCCAGGGCCCTTGTACAACTGCTCCAAGAAAGGTACCAAACCGTACCAAATTTTAACTCGACAGTACGATGGATAAGATTTTTTTTTTCTTTTTATACTGTAGAGTATTACATTTTCTTCATGTCATATATGTGCTTGTTCTTGACAGATACATTCAAGCTGAAGGTTAAGCCTGGAAAAACTTACCTCCTCCGTATGATCAATGCTGCACTCAATGACGAGCTTTTCTTCAGTATTGCAAACCATACTCTCACAGTTGTTGAAGCTGATGCAATTTATGTTAAACCCTTTGAAACTGACACAATTCTTATTACCCCTGGACAAACCACAAATGTTCTTCTTACAACAAAACCTAGTTTTCCAGGTGCCACCTTTCTCATGACTGCTAGACCATATGTTACTGGACAAGGCACTTTTGACAACTCCACAGTTGCTGGAATTCTAGAATATGAGTCACCAATTCATTCTAGCTTCTCCATCAAGAATCTTCCCCTCTTCAAGCCAACTTTACCCCCTCTAAATGACACGTCCTTCGCCACAAATTTCACGAAAAAATTGCATAGTTTAGCCAGTCGGGAGTTCCCCGCTAATGTCCCCGACAGAGTTGATCAACGTTTCTTTTTCACAGTCGGCCTCGGGACAAGCCCTTGTGAGAAAAACCAGACATGTCAAGGACCAAATGGAACCAAATTTGCAGCATCAGTTAATAATATATCTTTTGTACAACCAAACACGGCTTTACTCCAATCCCATTTCTTTGGCCAATCCAAAGGTGTATACAGCCCTTATTTTCCAATCAATCCATTCCACTGGTTCAACTACACTGGAAACTCTCCAAACAATACCATGGTTGGAAATGGGACAAAAGTTATGGTTTTGCCATTTAATACTAGTGTTGAGCTAATCATGCAGGATACTACCATTCTTGGTGCTGAGAGTCACCCTCTTCATTTGCATGGCTTTAATTTCTTTGTTGTTGGACAAGGATTTGGAAACTATGATCCTAACAAGGACCCTGAAAACTTCAATCTTGTCGATCCAATAGAAAGGAACACGGTTGGAGTGCCCTCAGGTGGATGGGTTGCAATTCGGTTTTTAGCCGATAATCCAGGTTGGTGTAGGACTAACTTTCTCTATCTGTTTATGTTTTCAGACGAAATAGTTCAACTTTTTAACTTTATTTTGACTGTTTGTGCATATTGTTACTTTTTAACTGAGCAAACATTAACTTAGTAGAACTTAATAATGTCTAATCTATGTTACTAAACATGCAAATAACGTATACGACTCATATTAACGTAACAATGTCACAATCTTGACAAGAATTTCCTGTTTTTGCTACCTTTTGGAGAATTTTTTTCTTTCTTGATTCAATTTAATAATTATGATCAACTCAATCGCGTGTTAATAGGTGTATGGTTCATGCATTGTCACCTGGAAGTGCACACAAGCTGGGGTTTGAAAATGGCATGGCTTGTCTTGGATGGAAAGCTTCCCAATCAAAAGCTCCTTCCTCCACCTTCGGATCTTCCCAAATGCTGATGATGTTGAATTTTAATTTCACTTTGCCCTTGGGATTATTTGATTGTTTTTTCTCCTCTTTCCATTTTTTAATTGTTTTTTCCCCTTAAAAACAGGCCCACCAGTTTTGGCACTGACTTGATTCATTTGTTCATTTGTTTTGGCCAATCTGAAAGTGAAGTGACTACTGGATAATCTTTTGTAATTAATGTCATAAACAGTTCAATAAATTTATGAAAGTGTCTATCTTTTGATTTTGTTAGCATTCAATTTGATGTATTATTTTCCTTCTTAATATACTAATCAGTTCTATTTTACTTTATTATCCTACGAGTCTTATTCTTTGATCATAAAAGTATGTCCATTAAAAAAGTTAAATTCTAGCTAAAATCAATTTAAAGAAAACATTTTTTGAAAAATAAACTCGTTCCGTCCTGCCACCACCTTTCAAGGACTTTTAATTGACACGTGTATTTAATAGTTGTGACCTACTGCTTAATTGGGACAAAAACATGAATGAATAATACACATGTCAATTAAACAATGACAGACAATACTGAATTACATACTCTAAAATACTAGAAAATTTCTTGCTATTCTACATCTACCCCTGAATTGGCCATTACAAACTTGGAAGAACATGATAGTAGAGGATTCAGGATGTCAATCCGGTTGGCCAGCTAGAGTCGCCTATGGTTCGGCCTAGGAAAAAGCCCCAGCCGGCTAGGCTCACGACTCGTTGGAGCCAAGCCTCAATTTCGAGTGTTGGCTAAAGCTCAAGTCGGCCCGTGTCAGACCCACCAACAAGTCATTTTGGCCTGTGTCTTGGCAATAAAGGCAGATGCAACTGTCTTTAAAAAAATAAAGTGAAATAAAAATTAGAACTTCAAGAAAGAAAGAGCCAGCTTGGCTCGAAAATGCCCGAGCTGAGCCTCATTTTTCGGTCGAGCTTTGGCTTGGGCCAAAAAAAAGTTCGATCCAATTTTATTCAAGCCGCGAATTTCAACTCGACTCATTTACATTCCTAGGGAGGGTACTTATCCATCATTTGCTAAAACTTTAGCCTAAAGAAAATGTAAAGTCAATGCATGGAAATAATAAAGTAAAACAGCTTCCAAAGGACTAGGTGAAAAAAAAAAACATTGAATTAAAATGAGTAAAAGTTTCTAACAACCCTTTCCTTAAAGATTCTGTTGAACCTTCCCTCAAATTGAATCCTCTAAAGTGCAGACTCCAAGTAACTTTCTCAATTTCAGAAAATTAGTCAATTTGTGGGGCAATATAACGGAATAAGAAACCAAATACAGACTTGGGAAGAGGGCTCTGCTTGACCTCCAGCTAAAAATAAAATAAAATTTTCATGTTCGAATGCCGGAGTACAATGTGAAAACTAAGACTACACTTCATGTGTCCTAGTTATACTCTTCTTCATCATGACTAGTGAAATGTCTCTTCAGCTTCTAACCACTTTCGAATTCGCTACTTGAAGGTGACCGTGTAAATTTATTATTGTAAATCAAATTTGGGATATACATAGCTTCACCACTGAAAAGGCCCAAACCACACAATATTAAAATAAGATACAAAAGAATCGATCACAATAGTAAGTAACCGTTGTAGAAATTAAAATGAACACAAGATATGTTTTGACCTAAGTCCCGAAGGTTCGGCGACCGGATCTAACGTCTACATCCCCCGTTGAGCATCCATTAAATGGATAAATGCTCGGTTTTACTAATAAGCCCAAAATGACAACAATATTACGGATCGTTCTTCAAATACAAGAGAAAATGCACAAAAGCACTTATCTCTAAAATATCAAACTGCAGGCGAACGAAAGAGCTACAAAAGACGGCCTTCAACAGCCCACTGCACTAAACCACTGCAAGAAACCCTTTATTCTCACAGATATCACAAAGACAACAGATTACAAAGGCTTAACTACTAATAGATATCAGTTTACAGGTTCATCATAAGGGATGAAGAACACGAACATCTCTAACCCTAGTTACAAGAAGAGAAAAACTCAGAAGAGCCTAGAAGAAACTAGAGAAGCCCAAAAGCCAAGATCGAATGAGAAAATATCTCGAGTTTGGTATATATATCACACACTAACAAACCACAGATCCAAGGGCCAGCAAGAGACCACGTGTCACCATCAGAAGATAAGTTGCATTACTAAAAGAGTTGCTCTTTTGTAAAACAC